ATTGGCACAATTATATCCACATAACATTGCAATGTACCTAATCCTCCGGCAGCAAAGTTGACAACAGGCAGTCTTCCAAGTTCGGCTGTCTTCTTTAAAAGCTCGTGTGACACTCCTAATTCTTTAGCGTAGCTGTACAGCTCGGTGGAGTCCATTGCCTTTGCAATCCTGATTTGATGATTGATTGTTCGTGCATGTTTAACAGCTTGAACCACATTGCCTAGAACAAGTACAAAATAAAGCATTAAAAATATACAGGAAGCTTAAAGTAATATAATTGTGCTATAATAGTATTACAATTTATTATGATTGAAACTAAAATTTGTGATTAAAATAATACTAACTACTGACCTGTCCCTGCTTCTCCTTTAGTTCGTATCATTGAAGCACCTTCAGCAATCCTTCTCAAGGCCTCACCAAGGTCTCTGGCTCCACACACAAACGGCACACTGAAATCGTGTTTGTTAACATGATTCTGATCATCAGCCGGAGTTAATACTACAACAGTGAAACAAAAACATTACAATACTGCCAATTACAATACTGCCAGGGCTAGGCCCGATTTTGGAGCAACTTTAAAAATTCGTAAAAAATTCAATTTTGATTGGAATCGACTCAAACTTTCTACGCAACATAAGTACATGTATATGCATCAGAAAATTATAAAAATGAAAAATTCTTTCCATGTCATTTTTGATGAAATTTGGCCGAAGACCCTGTACTATAGTACAGGGACTTTGGCCCGATTTTGGAACAACTTTTAAAATTCGTGAAAAATTTAAATTTGATTGGAATCGGCTCAAACTTTCTACGGAACATAAGTACATCTATATACATCAGAAAAAAATATAAAAATTGAGAATTCTCTCCTTGTCATTTTTGATGAAATTTGGCTGAAGACCCTGTACTATAGTACAGGGACTTTCGCCCAATTTTGGAGCAACTTCAAAAATTCATGAAAAATTCAATTTTGATTGGAATCAGTTCAAACTTTCTACGCAACATAAGTACATGTATATGCATCAGGAAAAAATTATAAAAATGGAGAATTTTCTCCTAGTCATTTTTGATGAAACTTGGCTGATCATTGAATTCTTTATTTACTTTTGGCCTGATTTTTGAGCAACTGAGGATGACTCAGGTAATAAATCTTCCCCTAACATTTGTTTCCTAGCTAACTACTGCTGAGTCATATTGACAGAATGACTGGTACAATCATAGTAGTGTTTATAGTAGTGTAGCAAAATGTGGTGTAAACATAAAATTAACAAGCAATGATAAGCAGCTGCTTTGGGATAGTAAGCTTAATTATAAATAGACAAAAAACCTAATAATAAGCTCAAACTTGATGCATAGCATAAGAACATGTACATACATATGTAACTACAATGTATGTATCAGAAAAATGTAATGAAGCCCCTCCTAGCCATTTTTGCTATATAAAGGATCAGGAGCCAATGAAAGGGGAGCCCATGAAACCCTCCCTTTCATGAGCTCCTGATAGGATAATAAGTTTAATTGTACTATACATTACCTTCTGATTCGTCAATAAAGTCAACACTAAGAGCCTCGAGTATCTGAGCCTCAACAAAATGTCCGATACGAACTTTAGCCATTACTGGTATGGTAACAGCTGCCATTATCTCTTTAATTTTCTAAAAAAATAAAAACAAAATTTAACAAAAAATCTATATACAAAGAGCTATTTATACATGAAAAACCTTGCGTAAATTGCATATATTCTAACAAAATATCATAAAAACCTTTTACATGTATTTTGTAAATTGCATTACGCATAGTTACTTACTTTTGGGTCAGACATTCTAGCCACACCTCCTTCTTTTCTAATATCAGCCGGAACACGCTCTAAGGCCATTACAGCACACGCTCCTGCCTCTTCAGCAATCTTAGCTTGCTCAGCGTTAATGACGTCCATTATAATGCCCCCCTTTAGCATCTGAGCTAAACCTTCCTTTAACATTGGTGTACTTAATGAACAGTGATGTAATAACACATAATACTTGGGGGGTATCAATCATAGGGGGGCAAA